TCAACAATGTTCTAGTGGGATATTTATCATTATTATGAAGAATAAGTTCTGTTATTTGATATTTAAAAAAAAATATGTCGAAAGGCTGAGTTATCTAAATAAAAAAAAGCAATGTAAAAACATACTTTTGCACTTTTTGATCTGTTGATGACTAAGAGCACGTTATGTGCTTACCTGTAAGATAACGACAAACTATTTCTTGTCCAAAATTGAAGAGTTCCAAAGAAGTCAGATTTGGATAATCACCAGCAAGAAGAATACTCTGCAAAGATGTTGTTTCGAGAATTAGTTTTTTGATAGAGTAATGAATTCGAGGCAATATAGAATTACAAAATCAATCAAGTTTCATATCAATAACTTATGGTGTTCTTACAAAATTGAGAATATTAGTAAATACACCATCTTCTACTAAAATATCAAGTTGTTTATTATTAATTCCGAATAATGAATAGAGAACATCAATATTGTCGAGTTTCTTCAATATGACAAGCAATATTTCATTGGGTAGATTAAGAAGATCAATGTCTGACTGATTCATTCTTGTTTAAAAATGTCGTCCTTCTTAAAATCTATATATATGTTCGTTTTTTTTCTTCTGACGTTTTCCGTCAACAAAAAATACAATGTGTGACCGCGATGCAAAAAAAAATGTGCTATCGATCGATATTTTGTCGAATATGATCATCAACAGACGCTGTTCTCTTTTCAACATTTATTTATTTTGTTGTTGTCGGTCCAGAATGTTCATTCACACGAAAGTAGACAATAACATACCGTGCTAAGCAAAATAAGGCAAACAAATCTGTTACAAAAAAAGAGCTGACTGAGTTTTACCAATAAATAACTAAAAGCTTGATCTTTTATTTGGTCTTGTACCCAAAAAGTGTCAAACATTACTGAAAAGGACTCGGATCGGATCCCAAAATTTTATTTCTTATGGGGCGCGACTGCAGAAATTTAGTTTTTCGTGGGTCCAGACTCAAAACAACACGAATCCGCAGCTACCTAATCTCGGATCTTCAGAAACGTATCATAATCTATATTCTAAGCACTGTCTTCTTCCATTGAGTGAGGGCATTGTTAGACATTAGAATTATATAATCATTTATACGCGAATATACTCACCCCTCATGAAAATGCATGGTTCATAATTTATAGATGATGATATAAGGTGACGATGGTTGGAGTAAAATGAACATGCTTCGCAACTGTGTCAGTGTGAGAGTTAAAAGTTTCTTTTTTTTTTTCAAAATTGATAGTTGAGAAAAACGGCAAAAAGTTAAAATGCTTATAACTTTCAGCCATAGTTTTAACTATCAACCATTTTAACTCGATGAACTTTTTGAATTTTTGGGTAGATTACTTGAGTTGAAAGAGTAATTATTTTGATTTATTTGACACAATTGATAAAATAAATTAACATATGTATATATTTTATTGTTCTTTACTCTAAAAACTTAATATTCATAGATTATTTTATAAATGTTATTTTATGTATTCATCTGCAAATCTCGTTTTCTTGTATTTATATGTCGAGTGCGAATGCACATGTAACACAATATATTTTTCGTCGTATGATTAATGATAATGGTAAAAACGTGAGCCGCTGAAAATAATATTTAAAACTGAAAATACTGCGATTTATTTCTTATTCTCTAAAATGGCAATCATTTTCAATAAATGTTGTGAGAAATTTTAGATAACGCTCCCTATTGGTAAGTATAATCATGTATATTTTATTTCCACATGAAATAACTATATCAAGTTATTCTCAGTTCATTTGTATATGTTCATCACTACTTTTATCAGCACATAGATTATGTTACTGTTCTCGTTCTTCCTCGTTATTATATCGACACCCGTGAGAAGAGAAATCAGCCGTGCAGAATCTGCCGTAAAAATGAAAAATTTCCCCAAACGACAAGAATTTTTTTTTTTTTTTAATTTTCCCGCCTACAAAAATAGAGCAAAAGACTTTCGTTTTTTGAGCGTGCATATTCCAAAAATAGAAGATCAAAATCGAGCTACCAGTATGATATTAAAAAACTGTTGCGTAAAAAAAACAAAATGATTGCGATTATAGTCAATTACTTTAAAATAGAAACCTAATGAAGCGATAATATGAACATACAACAGCTATAACGAATTTTAATCATCAAATTCGATTAAAGTCTCTCCTCGCAATAGAACATTATTGCCTTGTATTGCAATTTTTCATATCAACCTTCTCGGAGTGATATGGATATACTTTTGGAGAACTTTTTTATTTAAAAAAACGTCTTTCATGTGTAAAAAGCTCCCAGCATAATCCCTGTGAGATTCAAATGTGAAACACAATGAAGCCGTTTCAAATGGGCATGAAGCTGCTTCTTACTTTCACAACGACTCGACATGATATCAAGGAGAAATGATCTCAAATTGTCTCTGACGACTTTTAATCGGAGCGAAAATGCTGCACCAAAAGAGCGAGAAAATGTTTTTGACTTTAGTACTTCTTATCGATTCAGATTCTAAGACATCCTCTGGAAATCCAGCAGTTCTAGGTTCGAAAATCCACAACACTGTGCTGCAAAAAAAACATAATTCTATGGTCCAAAAAGAAACCCATGCTACCACATCATCTGACTTTCTCGCTTTATACTTCAACAATCACTTCCAGTCGTGTTTTACAAAAGGTGAACTTCGATAAAATTCTTGCGCTACTTTATGCAAACTCTCAATTACCAGATAGAATGTTACTAAAAATTTTGAAAACTTCCAGTTTTAACACAAATCAATAATAGAAAGACTATGAACTGCTGATCTGTTCTCTGGATTATCCTCTGTGTAGTGTTCTTGTATTACGAGTGAAAGACTCCGTAAAGAATTATTTGCGCAGATAACTCATTATAGGTAATCAATCAGATAAATGGTTACCATATATTATTCACACATGTAATCCATTATATTCGATTCTGATGACTATAGGCAGATACTAATTGTTCCATGTTTATATCATTACTTTGCTATTTTCTCATTGTAAAATAATTGATTACTCCCAAAATGTATAACTATTTTGCCCTTGGATTAATAGTTGTTGATAATTTCAACGAAAAACGATAATGACTAAAAACAATGCAAATGACAAGAAACAGCGATGGGAGTAAAATGGGGTGGTGGAAAAGAAAAAACATTCAGAGACGAATGATGTTCATACAAATGGGCAGTGACCTATGCCTATAAATGAATAGATAAACCAAGAACAAGAAAAGCAGAGAAATCGTTTATTGAGTTTGTGATTTCTCCGTACGGGAACAAATTCTTCAAAAAGTTTTCCCATCTCAACATTTCCCCAGACTCAAAAGAGTTTCTCCAAACGCGCGTTCCCGCACACAAGTAGATTCTGTACCTTTCGATTCCTACTGCTTTTCATAATCTTTTCATTGTCTTACTTTTGGTGAATAATAATTATATCTTATTGAATAGTGTTTTTTATTCAAGAGTACAATACCTTTATTAACTATTCCGAAAAATATTGAACAAGTCAATATTAAATGTAGTGATAATTATGATCGAGCTGTAACAAATCGTTTCAATCCAGATTATCGATTAACTGGAAGATTTTACAAAATCCAATAAATCAATATCCGTGAGTCATTGAGCTTGAGGAAATATTATTTCTCTATGAATGCAATGGAATATCGTTAATAGTTCTATTTAAGAATTTAGTTGATGATCCAAAACTTCTTGCTATTCTTTCTTAACATATATCAATCGATATTGTTCTATTAAAATCAAGTTTTCATCAATTAATTGAAGTATTTTCAACATCATCATCAATGACATTACTAATTTCTATTCGATAATTTCAATTCGATAATACTACTTCGACATAAAATAAGAAGGAAAAATCATTTTTATTGATTAACCATTACGTCAACGTATTTATACAAAACGAGAATTAAATAATAAAGATTTTCAACGATCATTTCGTTCATTATTATTACCAACAACTGGTGGAAAATGAGAAACAACCGATAATCAGTTTAGTTATACCAGTTTTTATAATAAAATAAAATTTCAAACAGCGGAAATAAAAAAAATTAATTATACAACCAGAACAAGAAGAAGAAAGAAAATAAAATAACAGACGACGATGAAGATGAAGACAACGAAGATAGAATTTTATTAGCACAGATAATGATAATGAGCAATAACAAAAATTATTTAATAAATCTAAACAAAAATTTATTTATTCAGGATTTAGTTTAAAATAAAATAAATTTAAATTGCTTTGGTACCTATTGTTAGTCGTGTTAAACTTGCAACACATATTCAAGATAATTATAAATATTGTTTATGGCAATGAGGTACAATTCCAATTCTTATTCGTTCATCTTATCATGGATTTTGTCGACATATTCTTTCGAATAATAATATAAATGAAGAATTAGTAATATATTACTCGAAATTTGAATATCAACTATAATTCGGTTTAGAACAAATTACAAATAACTAATATCGTTTGATTTGGTTTGAATCATACTTTAGACATGGAACGAGTGTTTTACTTACTTAGCAAACTAAAATATTTGTTTTCTTTCAATAAAAAATAAAGACAAATTTAACACGAAGAAATGTCTTTATTCAACAAGTACTTAAAATTGAAAAAATAACATGACTATGTTGATCAAAATCTTAATGAATGTCAAATTGAGTAAAATTGTTCATTATATGAACCAGCATCTTTTTTATGTTAAAATGATGCAGCGAAACAAAGTCCAAAAATTGTTAACATTTGTATAATATAATCATATATATTCTTTACTAGATAATTGCTAAACATTTTTGCTTCTCTATCAATATAAACACTTGTTAATTCAGCAAGTAGTTGAAGATCGAGCATAACATTTTTTGTTTTGATACAGTTGCACATGGACTTGAATATGCTGTGCCTTGTAATTCGAAATTTTTTCAAAAGAATTAAATCAATATTATTCAATTTTGGAGTATAATCGAATTCAATTGGCTTGCTTTGTGGACTTAATTGATTCTTTATATTCTGTAATTTCTTCTATTATTTTATTATTAAAATCTAATGGTTTTTCAAAATCATTAAGTAAAAATAATAGACGGATATCATCAGTATGATAATCTTCAAGTGCATTAGTTATGGTAATAATTTCTTTTGATGATGTTGACGTTTTGTCTTCATTAAATATTACCAGAAAGATGAATAAAAAATAACCAATGCAGCAAACATTATCATCATAAGCTTGAGATAAAGCAATTTCATTGGCATGATGAGGAAATTTAAGATCGAGAGGACCTGTATGTATATCAAATGGTGAACCTATAAAATAAACAATAAGTTTTTATTAAAACAACAAAAGCGTTCATTTAGACACGCATTTCTTACCTAAAACAGCATAAGCCACAGTAGCGCTTTGAAGGTTTCATCCTGGTCGGCCAAGTCGCCATGGTGACTGTCAACCAGATTCATCAGGCTCACTTTTTTCCATAGAATAAAATCGCATGATTATTATTTTTTCTTTGATTGTATTCGCTGATGTTGTTAATGCTCCTAGTTCTTCAGTTAATGAAGCAACAAAACCCATTGATTAGATCCTAATATTGGATATGCATGTCGTTCATGAAATTTTAATATATCAAAATAAATTGTTGAATTGAATTCATATGTATAACCATTGTCGATAATTTTTTGAATAAATGTAATCATTTCAGGTGTATAATTGCTTGCTCGTGTTTCAATATTTGGTGGCAAAACATTCAACATTTTCATATGTAATTGGAATTGTTCATCATAGTCACGAGTGTGCTGATAGTGATGTCACACTCCAATGATCTTCCTCTTCTCTTTCCTGACTCGATATTGTTCTTTCCTACGTATATATCTCTCTGTTCTCTGTCGTATATATACGCATGGTATATGTGAATTAGTTACACTCTGGATATATGAAGTAGCAAATAAACATTCTTGCCGAGACTGGCGGTAGGCTACTCATCCAGTTTGTCGTTACATGGCGACTCTGGCAGAAGGTTGTCGTTACATAACATCCATGACAACCGAAAATGCACATCTAAATTCGAAGCTGAACCTTGCCGGAACAAACAACAACTCAATATCATACATCATCACTTAGCAATACAATTGAACAACAATGGACGATAAATAAAATTGATTCGAGTGATGAATGAATGAAACAACAAGTCGAGGGAAATGGCAGTGTCGGAGGACTATAATACTGAAGAGGTGTAGTATTAAACAAAAGACACTGGCACAGAACATCAGTGAACGTGCTAATGGCGGCTATGTTTCGGGCCGAATGTGCGTAGTTGCCGACGCACTTTCCCTTTTAACATCTGTAAGTTTCATGTCACTTCTCAAATCTCTTCATTCTTCTTCATCTGAATCATTTTTTCTGCTTCTGTTGTAACAAGTTGGTGTCAATGACAATGAACGAAAGTTGAATATCGGTCGTAAGCAATTTCAATTCATTGATCATTAATACACTATGTGTGCATCATCCAAATGAATGTCTTTAATCATCAACGATTTATCAATGTCAGGTATGTATAGATAAACAGGATCAATGGTATAAAGAAATAGACCATCTGTAAGGTTATAAAATAGTTGTGTAACGGGTGAAAATGTTTTTTTTTCTCAACTACCCGTGGGGTTCATAATTTTTTTTGTTTAATGTTAAGTAGATGTGCTACACTTGATAAAATCAAATATGAAGTGTGAAAATTTTTTCTTCTCAAGGAAGAATTACTTTTAAAAGATTAGTTTTGTGAAAATAGGTTGTTTTATATAGTTCTTTAATAAGTACTGTGACGCATTTGTTTTTCTTATTTTAATAGGACGTGTAAATCTAATCTGATCGTAAAGTACTAAAAGAAATTATTAATCTAGGTATCGTTTATGCACTAGATTCAATTTCTGTCTGTTGCTATTTGTAGCGTTCTTTTCCAGAGTTGATGACCAAATGTGTCAGTCTTTGCTAACTAATCGATATTGTTTCTCGCTCATAAAAGAACTATTCTTTTGATTTCTCTGTTCTAATGTAATGATGGTGTAAGAAAATATATAAGCGTGACAATGTGTCTGTGATAAATTTTGTGAAACTAAATGATTGTGTTTCTTTTGTCTGGCGAAAAATGCTGATTTATACTAATCTAATGTACGGCTTTTTTTTCTGTTTCTCGTTCGTGTGGAATCATTGTCTTATTGTGTATCTTATATGAAATGCTGGAGCTAAGCAGTTTTAAATTGTGAAAATAAGTCGTTCTGAAAGGTTTGATGCAACGTATGTTATTTTTTGTGTCTTTGAGTGAATTTTCATGATGTGCATATCGCGAAATGTTTTCTCATATGAGTGTGAAAAGATGTAATCTAAATGATTACTTCAAATCTAATTGATTGATGTCGTTCGTATTTTTTTAATTGATTGTCAAAGTTAAGCGATGAACTTGTCACGCTTCTGTTGTTCTTTTTTCTCTTCCTGTTTATCCTTTTTTTTTAAATTTCTTGTGTAATATTGTAAAGATGCTCGGAAGCGCATCTAATCTGAGTGGGAGAGTGTGCCGATAGTGATGTCACACTCCGAAGATCTTCCTCTTCTCTTTCCTGTCTCAATATTGTTCTTTCCTGTGTATATATCTCTCTGTTCTCTCTCCATTGTTCTAATCTATGTTCATCTATCTCTCTCCTTCTCTCTCGTATATATACGCGTGGTATACGTGAGGTGGCAAATAAACATCCTTGCCGAGGATGGCGGCAAGCTGCTCAATGCAGTTTGTCACTACAACGACTATGTTCAAGAAAACACTCATGATTAAGCAGATTTTATGTACACAAAAAAAAGTTTAGAATAAAGCGATAAAGCATCAGAACCATCATTAAATGATTTCTAATAGAAAGATTCAGTCTAGTTTAACAGTGTAAGATATATGTAAATAAATATTTACTTTTGATTGAGTTTTATTATTTGATGAAATATAAAGATTTGCTTCTTCTAATAAACTTTCTGTTGTTAAAATTCGTTTATCATACATTGCTCGTTTATCTTGATCTGTTTCACGTGAACGAATATTTTTGAGTTGCTAAAAGAAAGACAAATTTATCTTTGTTGTCTTTAAATTTTATACCCTACTTCAATTCCAACTCGACAATTTGTACTCATTTCTGGTGTTCCAATTGAACGAATTTTCTCATATTGAGTAAACAAGATTGGTGTTACGTGCATGTTCAATGATCTTTAAATAAAAAATCAATATGAGACATCAAAATTTAATAATAAAAATTTTACTTGATCATCAATATCCGTTATATTCATACTAAGAATAACATCATAACCAAAGTAATACATTAATGTACGACGAATAATATCGATTGAAACATTATATCTTCAAAAAAAAAAAAAAAAAAAGATAAAATGTAAAAGTCCATTAATATTGCCGAGCACGTTCTAAATGAAGTGTTTCGCATAAAGTTGCACCAGTTGTATACCAACGAATTTCGTTGCAATTTTTTGATACAAAAAATTCCTAACAGAATTCAATCAATATATGAAAGATGGTATTGTATCTATTACTTTTTCATTTGTTAAACTGTTGAATAAATATAATTGAGATCTAACACTTATACTTTGACAATTTATTAATGATAATTGTTGTTTATTTGTTCTGTTGAACACTTTTCAATAGGTTTATATCTAAAGAATATAAAGAATGTTAAATTTGAATTTGTAATAGAAAATCTGTTAGTGTAATCTTTGTGGAATTACAATTTGAAACACGATATGATTACTCTTATCAATAATAAGGTCCACGTAATAAATTGGTTTAAGCAGTACTGTTTGTGCTCGATACTCTTTTTGATTCATCAGGCAAAATTATATTAATATTATCCTAGAGCTTTCCAGTTTTCCCATAAAGTTATGAGTTTTTCTTGCAGTGCTTTGTAACTGCACACAATGAATTTCACGTTCAATATTATGCCTCTCACGGTCTGTGATGCCATTTAAATGCGAATTAAATACTAATCAAATACTATCTAAATGCAAATTAATAATGTTTTACAGTCTGTAGAGGGACAGGTGGTGGATTCAAATTTCTATCTTTATACTTCACTATTTCTTTTAGATCGTATTTCACAAAAGTAGTAAAGAGAATAGAAAAAAGACCTAGGAATTATTCGTTTCTCCGTCCATCTATTTCATCATACATTGACGAGCTTCTATACATGCGTGTCCAGATCAAGAAACATCACGTGACAAAAGAAATTTTTGTTATTCCTCTGCTTATGTTACGTTCTGTGTTGTCTAAGTGGTTAAAAGAACCGAATATGTATACATATATGAAAAAGTACAATAGCGAAAAAATGAAAAAATGTAGCTACCAAATAAGCAATTTTAAAAGAAGGAAACATGAAAAAGACGATCGTAAAGCGGCAAGAAAAGTATTTCAAAAGAAGAACAGAAAGAAAGATAAACCCAAGATTTCATTAATGCATCTTACTTTTATTCTGTAGTTGCATTCTTCTTTGCTTCTTTCGCTAATTGTTGATCTAATTTTCGTCGTTCTCTATAAAGACTTTCATCAACATCGCTGAATTAATTGTGTTAATAAAGACCAAATAGCTAAAGCAAATTGTTGTGCAAATGATCTGAAGTCATCATTATAATCATCAATATAAAGAGCAATTGCTCGACAAATTTCTGTTGTAACTTGATCCAAGATTTCAGGATGCTGTTTCTAAAAAGAGTTTGAAACTTATTTCATTTCAATAAAACCTTTCTTCATAGATCAGAGTGCAGTTGTTGATGATCATATGAAAGAAATGTTGTAAAATGTGTTACATACAGTGTAAGATTACTCTCGAAATGTTCGGATAATTCCTAAAAAAGATTTTATTAGATTAGAAATTATGATTAAAATTTCAATTACTTGAGCATTGAGATCATAAAAATCTTAATAAAAAAAGTATAAAGAATCAAAAGGATTTTTTATTTCAATTAAATCAGCTTCTTTTTGTGGAGAATAAGACATTAATAACTATAAAAGAACAGAAGATTTCTTTAAAAAAAACCATTGTTTTAAATTTAATCTTAAGTAATTCAAAAAAAGCTGCTACAAATTTTTCAAGAAATAATTCAATTTCTAACCATAATTCTTGCCAATTTTTGTTCACATTTATAACGTTCAAAAAGTGAATGTGCTGTTTTTAAAACACCATCCATTGATTCAAATGAATTTCGTGTTGATGGTTGTTGACATTGTCTGACCATTGTATCTAAGAATGTTGGCCGTTGATCAGGAAAATCACATTTGTCAATAACAGTTATTGCATCAGATCATCGTTATTGGATATGTTCAGGTGATCGTATCATTAAATCAACAGCATGTTCTTTTATATGATTACGATCACGAATTGATATTTTATTTGCTGTTGATGATAATGTATCAAGTGACGGTCCATTACATTTAATAAAATTTAAAAATATGATTATTGATGCATGACGAATTTCATCAGGAATTGTTGAACGTGCACTAAGTGTTAATAATCAAGATGAATAATTTTCATTTCGCTCAATTTGTTTTAAAGCTTTTTCAGTTAAAAGAAATAAAGAATTAGTATTTTTAAATGAAAATTTAAAAATTTAATCTCCTGCTTGTTCATCATCATTAGGAGTTAGAGTTTTACATAAATAAGTAGCGAGTGCTTCAAGATTTTCATCATTTATTTCCATTGTAAATTATTTAATAGTCAAATTATATCTCAAATTAATTAAATATAATTCATTTACAATCAGCAGGTTAAAAAAGAAAAACGAAATGATCCCCTGTTATTTGATATTGATGAGTCATTATTACACAAATGATTTTCATTACTTTTTGTAATGTTTTATTGAATGATATATCTGTAAAATAGTGAACAGATTCAGGCTGTTTTTTAGATTTGAGTAAACAGTAAATAAAAGCTTTTACATCAATATCAAGCTCTTTTTTAAAATGTGGGTTCCACAGAGTAGTTCTCCGGCTTCCAAATGATGTACGTTGTTTGGAGAAAAGTAATCAATCCATAGAATAAGAGAAGGAAAACATACGAAAAAAAGCGGAAGCGGGTTTGAACCCGCTTCCGATTCTTTTGCGATTATTTTCTGTGTAGAACTGTAAGAATAAAATATTTTTTCAATCCAAATGCATCATTTGAAAGCTGGAGAACTTCTCGGTGGAGCCCACATTTTAAATAAAAGTTTGATCTTGGTGTAAAGTTTTTATTCACTGTTTAGCCAAACCCGAAAAATACCCAAATCTGTTCACTACTGTAAGACCACATGAAATTTCTTTACGATTCGCTAATACTTGAAACATATACTATAACAATTATTAGAGGATGTTAATTAACATTATTAGTTTTATTTAAGTTAGACTACAAATGCAACGATTGATAACAGAAAATAATCAAGTGACATTCATTCCTGCTTCTTCTACTATATCGATAAGACGCGAATATCTCTTACATATAATAGGTCACGTGTACCTGATTGTGTTATTTATTTATATTCATTAATTTAAATGGTGGATAATTACACTTTTTATGCCAATGAATCATTGGCGGACAAAGAAAAGCGTGTTGATGGTCATAGTCTACAA